CTCAGGCTGCCTCTCCCAGGTCTGCTTTGTTTTGATTTTTGGTGGTTTAGAAAGTTGCCTCCTTGCGGTGATGGCCTATGACCGCTATGTAGCCATTTGTCACCCACTGAGATACCCAACCATCATGAACCCCTGCCTCTGTGTCCTGCTGGTTCTATTGTGCCTACTGGTCACCACTATGAATGCCCTTCTGCACACTCTGACGGTGCTTCGACTGTCCTTCTGCACAGACCTGGGGATCCCCCACTTCTTCTGTGAACTCGTTCAGCTCATCAAGCTGGCCTGTTCTGACACCCTCATCAACAACCTCTTGATTTATTCAGTGACTAGCCTATTTGCTGGCATCCCTCTCTCCGGGATTATTTTCTCTTATACTCAAATTGTGTCCTCTGTTTTGAAAATGCCATCCATGGATGGAAGGTATAAAGCCTTTTCCACCTGTGGGTCTCACCTGTTAGTTGTGTCCTTATTCTATGGCACAGCTTTTGGAGTGTACATGAGTTCTGCAGTGACTGACTCTTCCATTAAGAACGTAGTGGCTTCAATGATGTACATGGTGGTCCCTCAAATGCTGAACCCCTTCATCTATAGCTTGAGGAACAGGGAAATGAAGGGAGCCCTGAGACATCTCATCAGTGGGAGGCCTTCTCTGTGATCATGTCATCTTCTTTGGGTTTGAGTTTCCAGATTCAATTGGAGTAACAGAAATAGTGGTGACCTGGCATACCTTACTTATTCATTATCAAGTTCTTCCAAATATGACTAGATACATGTTGTCCAATTATCAATTTGGATTTCGAATCTGCATGTGTTTTTTGTCCCCCAGACATGATTTCAATCTCTGAGCTTCATATTGTTGCTCTAACTCCATCAGGCAGGGCTGAGTTGGGGGTTCTATTTTAGTGGTACTGTATAGATCAATCTCAGAATAAGGACTGTTGTATGAGGTGAATAGGGAAGGGACAGTTTTAGGTAAGACTATGGCAACATATAGAGACCAGATTCAGCCTAGGTCCATGGTTATGGCCACAAGGGTTACAGCCACAGGTAGATGGATGTTATATGAGGTCAAAGAACTCGACTTTCATACTTGGGAAGTAATTACTGAAACACTCCCCGGAAAGCTGTATCCTTATAATGTCATGTTAGCTTCTACCCTACTCAGTTTCATTATTTATAAAATTCACATAATTAGACTATGTCAGGGATTTGAGATGGTTTTGTGGTATCAGGACTTCATTAGTAAAGAAGATCTGAAGAAAAATAAAAAAAAATGACTATATATACAATACACTGGGGCAAGAAATAGAACTATTTTTTATTATAAGAACTTTAGAAGTTGATAACATATAGTTTCAGATATTAGGGCTTCACTGAGTCCTGCATGGGGTGGCCTCTTCCAAGGACATGTGCTCCTCAGAGTCCCCAGGTGGTTTCAGCAGATGCAGGTGTTGTGCCTGGACATGGGGCCAGAGACAGAAAACAGAGTGTCCTGCCCTTGGTCCCCTTTTGATCCTGACTTTTCATAACCATAGAATGAATGTACTTATGTCCAAAGGGGATCTTTGCAGAGAATTTTACCCCAGATCATGTAATCATCTATTTTTATATATAGAGAAATTGGATTAATGTGACTGGTTTTTTTCATTATCAGTATTGTACAAAAAAAAAACTAACTCCATGGCAATCTAATTCATTGTTATCACCCCTCTGCATTTGGCCCCGGTATACACTAGAGCAATTTACTTCTTTCTGACTCTGTTAGGGACAGTTTAATGATCTTGATTGAGTTCTGTGTCTCGGCATTCACATCACCTCTGCTCTTCTAGATTCCATCAACTTTTAAGTCTGGGACCCATTTATTTATTTTCAGTTCACTCCATTTTACATGATGAGTGGTGACAAAAAAAAAATTGAAATTGCTGTCAATGAAATTTGGATATCTGTTTCCTGTAATTGTGAAAAAGGCTAACAGTATTTGCTTTCACATTTCCTGGTTAAAATTAAAGATAATTCTTTATTGGGATGTAATTATTGGTTACAAGTGTGTAGCTTCTTTTCTCAGCACTGGGGATTGAACCCAGGGGTACTCTCTCACTGAGCTACTCCCCATCCTCCCAGTCTTTTTAATTTCACTTTGAAACACAGTCATGCCAAGATGCCCAGGCTGACCTCAAACCTGTGATTTTTCTGCCTCAGTCTCGTGTAGTTGGCATCACAGGTATGCACCCTAGTGCCTGGTAAGAGTTGAATTTTCTTCAACCGATTTACAGAGATTAAGAATTTGAAAAAAATCATGCCCATTTTCTCAACCGTGTATGTATCTTGATAACCCGACATAACAAGCACAGCCTGCCCACCAAACCTGAGTTCCCTGCTGAGCTGTTCATAAGGATCACACGTTACAATGCTATTAGATCTCACAGCTGTCAGCATGTACATGTGTATACACAACATGGGATACTATTTAGCCATGAAAACCATGAAATCCTGTCATTTGCAGAAATGTAGATGGACCTGGAGTACGTTATGCCAAGCAAGATTAAGATCTAGTTAAGCACAGAATAACATACACAGAACAATTTCACCGACTACAGGAATTTAACCAAGTGGATATAGACACGGAGAGCAGAATAATGATCATCAGATACAGGCAGCACAGTAGGGAGGGAGGAGAAAGGGAGGTCAGTCACTAGGTACAGTGCTAACGTTTGACGGGAGAAAGGAGTTACGCTTCACGACACATCAGAGCGAACACAATTCACAAAAATGCATTGCATATCTCCAGATAGTGAGAAGAGAGAAACATGAACGTGCTCACCAAAGAAAAATGATAGCATTTCAGGAGACAGGTATGTAATTGCCCTGAATTATCTGTACTCAATCTACAAAACAATCAAAACATCATGTTGTACCTCAAAAATACAAATAGTATGAGTAAATGAAAACCAAATTAATTATTTGAATTAAGAAACTAAGTTTTACATTTTTTCTTGGCAACTAATCTCCTCTTTGGATAATTAGTCTTCATGATCTTGACACATGAACTATTTTCTTGCTTATGGAGACAAATCCAAGAGCCCTTGGGCTTCATCCCACTCAGCATATTGTGTTTGAATTTTTAATATTTTTTGAAACTGGGATAATTTTTTTAAAATTTACTGTGACTGTTCTTTTTGTGGTTTGTGGAAAACTGAGCTTGACTTATAGTTGACAACTTTTAATATTTTATCTAGTATTACTCTTTTGGGAAAAGACTGGTGCTAAGGTGGAGAAGGAAGATATGACAGTGTCATCTTACTCTGAATTTTAATTAGTGCATCTTAAAAATTATCAATTCATATAGAATGAGTTAACATGGGGTTGGGGGTGTAGCTCAATGGTAGAGTGTTGACTAGCAGGCACAAGGCCCTGGGTTCAATCCCTGGCACCACACACACAAAAAGAAATGAGGTAGCATGGTGTCAGATGTGTTGACAAACAGATGAATATCCTAAAGTTCTTAAACGTGCAAGGTTTACAAGTGAACACAAACATGGAGCAGAACTGCTTTTTGAATTAACGTCAAAATCTGCCCAAATGTGCTAACTATAAGGACACATTTGTATACTACTGCCTTTTGGTGATTTTGTAATTGAGTCAACACCTCAATTAAAAATAAAGAACCATAATTTCTACTCATTGTCCCCACCTGTGAATTCAATTATTGAAACTCTTTTGATAATATTGAAAAAATTTTCATAAAATTCTAACCACCGAGTCATGGTCCTGCCGATATATTTGGCATTCAGCATTCGCCAAATAAATAGGTGAGAATCTTCTGTGCAAAATATAAAGAACAAAAATTAACGTTCAGTAAACATCAATGATACATAAGAAAAGACATCCCTGAAAGCTTGTGTTTTTATAATATCTTAGTTAATATTTATAATTCCATAATTTATACCTACATATAAAAATATATATTCATACCTAAAATAGGAACCAGTGTTCTGACATCAGTAATTTCATAGAGATTCCTTTATGTATAACTTAATAAAAATACTGGAGGTTATTAGAGAAGTGGTGTGGGTTTTGCATGCAAGGGCCGTTAAATGGAGAGGAGCCATGGAGATGGAGAGAACTGGATGCTGTACACCCTGCTTCAGGGACTAGGAAATCAGCGGTCCTGAACTCCTCACTCCTGTACGTTGGTCTTTAAGGACATGCACTCCTGGGATCAGAGTGATAGTGAAATAGCTCTTCTAATTAGGAGCTTTAGATATTGAGCCTCAGAGAGAAAGAGATATAGGAGTCAGTCTGTGAGTACCTCACTCGACATCCCTGCCCCCGTCAGGCAATAACTCCTGAGCCTCTTCTCACAGTCCACCCTTCTTGACCAGGAGCTGCTGACTCATTTAGTCTATCGGAGGACAGAGGTTTCACCCTCGATTTCCAGGTGAGAAGCTGGACAACATTCTTCTTGAAGTCAACCAGGTAACACCAAGTCCCTTAGCAAATGCCTTGGAAGCGTGTGAGTGTATGACTGTAATCAGACCCTGGGAACCCGTGAGGAGAGTAAGAATCAGGAAAGAGAACATGATGGACAACAGCCCCCACCCCTCTCCTGCCCGCTGTGGGACCCCGTGACATGTTCTCCATCACGTTTCTCCCAGTACTGACCCAGTTCCCATTGTCTGGTCTCATCTGTTCAAGGATGGAGCCCATAACCTTCAGTGTAGGAATCTGCCCCTTCTCCAGTGTGATGACTATTATAAAACATTCTGAAATTTACTTGAATTCTTATAGACATGCTGGTGAGGGGGTTTGTGAGTCTCTTAGTTGCCAGGGCTGGCATAACCGAGAACCACAGACTGGGCACCATCACAACAGAAATTTATTTTCTTATAATTCTGGAACCTAGACGTCTAAAATCATGGTGTCTGCGGGTGTGGTTTTCAAACAGCATTCGAAGTGGTACTGCTGCTGTCCATACATTTAGCATTTTTTCATCCATCTTTTCCATCAGATTGCTCAACAACATGGAAGCTAGAAACCACACAGCTGTTTCAGAATTCCTTCTCCTGGGACTGACAGAGGACCCAGCCCTGCAGCCCCTCATCTTCAGCCTGTTCCTGTCCATGTACTTGGTCACCATCCTGGGGAACCTGCTCATCATCCTGGCCATCAGCTCTGACTCCCACCTCCACACCCCCATGTACTTCTTCCTCTCCAACCTGTCCCTCACTGACATCTGCTTAAGCAACATTGCAGTCCCCAAGATGCTAGTGAACATCCAAACACAGACTCAGAGAATCACTTATACAGGATGTCTTTCTCAAGTCTGTTTCTTCTTGGTTTTTACTGGCTTGGAAAATTGTCATCTTGCCATGATGGCCTATGACCGCTATGTGGCCATTTGTCACCCCCTGAGGTACACAATCATCATGAACCCCTGCCTCTGCATCCTGCTGGTTCTACTCTCCCTGCTCATTAGTGTCGTGCACGCCCTCCTCCACACTCTGATGGTGCTGCGGCTGTCCTTCTGCACAGACCTCGAGGTCCCCCACTTCTTCTGTGAACTCGCTCAGGTCATCAAGCTGGCCTGTTCCGATGCCCTCATCAATAACCTGCTGGTATATTTTGTGGCTGGTCTATTTGCTGGTGTTCCTCTCGCTGGAATAATTTTCTCTTATATTAACATTGTGTCCTCTGTCTTGAGGATGCCATCATCAGAAGGAAAGCACAAAGCCTTTTCCACCTGTGGGTCTCATCTGTCTGTTGTCTCCTTGTTCTATGGGACAGGATTTGGGGTGTACATTAGCTCTGCAGTGACTGACTCATCCAGGAAGACTGCAGTGGCTTCAGTGATGTACTCTGTGGTCACTCAGATGCTGAACCCCTTCATCTACAGCTTGAGAAACAGGGACATGAAGGGGGCCTTGAGGAAGCTCTTTGGCAAGATAGCTTCTCCTCTCTGATGTACCACTTGCTTTGGACTGGGGTTTATAGAGTGAGTCCCAGTAACAGGATTTGTGTGAGACAGAATGCCTAATCCTTCTGTCACTCCCTTCTTTAAAATGTAGAGAAAACTTAATGACCAGGTGAATTTTAACTTCCTGTGATACTTTTCAATGCCTCATGGAAAATTCTGTGTGTGTTTGAAATATGATTTAAATTTTCTCAACAATATTTCCTTGCTTGGATCTACAGAGGCAGAGACTGATGCTGGGGTTCTTCCATCAGCACGTATTTTTATGGTACAGTCTCAGAGAAAGGCAAGTTGAGAAGGTGGACAAGGGAACTCAGAAGGAGGTGGGAGAGGAAGCGTTTAATCTGTTGGTGGGATGTTATTGTTTGACATGATGAACCAGTTCTGGTGTTTTGTGGCAAAACAGGTTAATATAATTAACGGTAATATTTACCTCAAAAATAGTTAGAAGAGAACATTTGTATAATGTCATCACAAAGACATGGTAAAGTTTAAGATGATCACCACCCAGTATATATGAGAATTAAATAATCCTATTGTACCTCATAAATATGTGCAAATATTAAGCCAATGAAAATAAATTTAAAATGACAGGAAAAAAATGCTCCTTCTCTGTCCTTTGCAACTAATCTCTGTCCAAGACATGGAATCCTTACCATCTGGAAATAGGAAGATTCTTGTTTATGGAGATAAAACAGAGATTTCTTTGGCTTCAGCCCACTCACCATACCAGGTTTGCTTTTTTTTCTTCCTATTTTATAATCCCAGTGATGACTGTCTATTACTCCTAAAAAGAAAAAAAAAATGGAATGGAGTTGAGATGGTGCTGCAAGACGATCATGGAACCATCTGGCCCTAAATGCTAGAATAACCTGTTTTGGAAATTATGTATTTATATAGAATAGTGATCATGGTGTAAAATATGGCAATGTAGATACAAAACGTAGAAGTTCTTGAATCTCAAGTATACAGTGGCATTAACACAGAGAACAACACTCATTGGATGACAGTGAGTCCGTCCAGGTGTGCCAAGTGCATGAACACGTTGGCATGTCACCATCTTCAGGAGGTTTTATAATTGAATTAACTTAATTGAGGATGAAGAACCACAGTTTTCTCCCCCATTCTGCTAAAATGAGGAAAACTTCACACTGAAAGTATTGTGACGAAATTACAAAAGGTGATTTTTAAACCTCCAAAAAAGAATATGAGCTGTGCCTATAATTTCTGCATTCAGCAGTCATCAACTAAATGAGAATCTATTATACAAAAGAGAGAATGGGATTTACAAGTATTCAGCAAACATTAATGGTTTTTGAGGAACCGTGTTTGCATTTGGCATTGTCTTTGCTGATGCTTATATTCCTATTAATTATACTTGCAAACAGAGGACACATGTTCACACCTGAATTTGAATGATACTTTCAGATATCACGAGGTGCATAGAGATGCTTTTGTGTACAGGTGAAAGGGAAGGTGGGAATTAAGTGAAAAAGTGCCACATGAAGTGTGGGCAAGTCCAAGGAACAGAGCCTAGCAGGAGCAACAGCGAGAACGAGGTGTTGTGTGTGGGGCCTCGGGGTCAGGAAATCACCTTGCTCACTCCCCACCTGTGAGGAGGTATGGAGTTTGTCTTGAAGGATGTTCTCTCCTGGGGTCAGAATGAGAGTAAGACTGCTGTCTAATGAGCAGCTTTGGATATTGAGCCCCAGGGACACAGAGACTGTAGGAGTCAGCCTGTGACCACCTCATTGACAGCCCTGACTCAGCCAGACAGCAGCACCTGGGCTTCCTCCCAAAGATGAGCCTTTCTCACTAGGAATGTCACCTTTGGGTGACCAGGACTTCTCTACCTCCAGGTGAGAGGCTGAGCACCACTGGTGAGGTCAGCCAGGTAACGGACGGCTGCTCAGTTAGTGCTGGGGGGAGGGCAGGTGTTTCATGAGCGCTCAGCCTGGGGGAGCAGTGAGGAGAGGATGAGCTTGGATCAGGAGAAACTGCCCCTTGACTCCCTTGTCCGCTGTCCGTCATGCTCTGGACAAGCCCTCGAGTGCGTGCACACCAGTGCTCACCGGCTCCAGCGCTGCTGGCCTCATACTGTCCTCAAGGACAGGACCCCGCTCCTTCTGAGCAGAAATCAGCCCTCCCTCAAACACAGTGGCTATTTCTAAATGTTCTGGTGTTGACTTGAGTTCCTGTGGGGTGCTGAGGAGGGCTCTTGGACAGTGTGTTCATCTCCTGTGCTTTCTACACAAATTAGCACAAGAGGGACACAGGACAGTGGGAGTTTATTTTCTCACAGTTCTGGGGCCAGACTTCCAACCACCACAGTGTCAGCAGGACACGTTTCCTCTGAGGCAGTTCATTTTACTCTCATATCATCAATAAAAAGAGGCAGTCCCCTTAACAACTACCAGCCAAGGAATGTAGAAATAAATTGTGGTAATATAGCAGGATAGTGTGTATTTAAGTTAAATGAAGAAGCACTAAATATCTCATCAATAATTAAAAAATAGATGCCCAGAGAATGCCAATTACAACTAACATACATACTAGACTTGTTTGTATAAAGATTTGGGGGGGGGGCTGCAGCTCAGTGCAGAGCGCTTGCCATGCACATGTGAGATACTGGGCTCCATCCTCAGCACCACATAAAAATAAATAAATAGATAAAGATATTGTGTCCATCGACAACTAAAAAAATATTTTAAAAAGATTTAAAATGTGGAACATTGCCCAGTGATTATTTGGAAGATAACTACCAAATATAGTAAAAATAAAGGGACAATAACATATATCTTGATAACGTGTTCATTTTATTAAAGTAGTAAAAAAATCAAGTTTGTGCAAATGTGTGATGTCAAGTGGGGACTTCATTTCTGCCTCTTATTTTATTTAATAAAAAGTACCTAGTACATATATGTTCAGAGGATTGGTATGATTCTACAACATGTACAATCAGAAGCATAAGTTAAACCCCATTTTTGTAGGGTGTGTCAAAATGCATTCTACTCTCATGTATTACTAATTAGAATATATTTTTAAAAATGAAAGGGAAATATCTAAAGCCAGGATAGAAATGTGTATGAATTTTTCATGATGCCTATTGGATGTCCAACTCTATTTTACCCTTTGTTTTCTTTTACACATAAATGTCCCATAAAAAAATAATGTGAACCTGTGCAGGCTCAAAAATACTGAAAATTTTTCAGGGTATAGACATGTTCATATAAAATTTTTCTTAATTGAGATACCAATCATTTTTGTGATGCAGCTAATTCATTTGCTATTTAATTCATTTTCATTGCTGTGTACATTATCATCTTATGTCCAGTCCTAATTAATTGTTGCTATAATTGACATTTCTTTCCTCCTTTAATTTTCTATGTTAATAATATTGCCACTGGTAGTTCCGGTACAGAAATTCCTCCCGAAAATATGGTTTCAGCCTGACAAAGACACCATCTCTGTTTGCTCTAATTACTTCCTTCCCTCTGAGAGGGTAAAATGTGTGCTATTGCTCATAGAAGACACACTCACACCCCCCCCCCCAACACACACACACACACATACACACACACACACACACACACACACACGATAGGCACTGCCAGGACAAGGATTCTTCATTTCCTGGATGCTTTCGCTCAATTCAATCCTTATCATTTGCCACTTCCCCTAAAAAGCCTCCCCTCCAGGTTTAATTGCACAAAGAAAAGTTGTAACCATTTCAGGTATGCAGTGGCGCATTTGGGGCACACATTGTGAAGTAATTACCACATTGTAGCTAAGTGACACACCCATAATGCAACGAGGACACCCAGTCTTCTAATCCAGGTGACAATATTCCCATTCAAAAACCTAATGCAGCAGCCTGGACTAAATTCAGAATGTGGCATCTACCATTTCAAATAATCATCATGGTCACACTGCTATTCTTTGCCCCATAATAGAGGACCATTGATGTGTAGGGACACACCCATTGGGACACCAGCTTACCTAAGTCTATTATGTTGTAATTGTATCTACCAAAGTCCAACAAGCTCAGTCTATTTCCAGGAGACTCTGCACCTCATTTTCTCTCTCATTTAGTTATTGTGTCATTTGCTGGTTTATTGAATTTAATGACATGCTACCAACCACACTGAGGGAAGAAATTCTCTTCAGAAAAGACAAAGAACGTCACTGTCATGGTTACTCCACTTCTCTTAGAATGAGTTACTAAAGCCTATCGCTGGAGTTTCCAGGAGCCTTATGAGCTTTCAATTTATGAGCAACCTCATTGAATATTTTCACGTCCACTTCTGAAATCACTCTACCTGCTACAAACAACTTACTGATGGAAGTGGGAAGAACTAAAAATCCAGGGGAAATTTGGGGTTATATTCAGAAACAAAGTATCAAAATTATAAAAGGAAACTATGGCATGGCCATGGTCATTTGGTGGTGCCAATTCAGTATGTCCATAGATGTTAGCAGAGATTGGTCAAGAGAGTCCCCTCAGGAGTCAGAGGACCTGAGCTCTGACCAAGTGGTTGCCACACTAACTTGCTTCCTGGTGTCTGTGGCTTGTTCTCTGGGGTGCAGGGGCCTGGGAGCAGGAACTGATGCATTTGTACTTAGATAAGCCCTTCAGGGGATCCTGAGTCATGGTAAAGGCAGAGAGCCTTGTACTGAAAATGGGCTTGATACATTTATCCTCACCTAGTTTTTGTTGAAGGAGGGAAATATTTTCAAAGGAAATCTGCCTCTTTTTTTTTTTTTTTGCTACAGTCTCAGTACCTGGTTCAAAGCATGAAAAAGTGTTGGTGCTCAGCACAGGGAAAGGACTGAAGGGGAGTGAGGAGAGCACTGGGGAGAGTTTCTAGACAATGTCAAATACTCATTTTGCTCACAATATAAATGTTTCTTTCTTTCTTTCTTTTTTGTTAAAGCATTGATTCTCAAAGTTTAGGGATTTAAAATTCACCTAGAGTGTTTGTTAGACAT